TTACAACCCCGCTGATATCATTGTAGAAAAACAAAACTATTTAATGAAACTGAAGGATATGAAAACTAATGCTAATTTACACATATTCAAAACAAATTTATATATATATATACACATTTCAATCCTAGTAGTTTCTCAACATTCCTGCATGGGTATAATTTTTTTTTTTCCTAGAATGGTACATTTTAACTGATTATATTGTGCATTTGCATTATGATTTGCTGTCAAAACTTGTGTTTAAAATAAATTGATTTAGTTTGGCCAAGAATTTCAGGATTCAAAAGCATCTCTGACATTTCTTTTGTATGAACTAGAGAGCCCAGAGGTCAAGTCATTGCAAGGCACATACTGTAGCAGTAAAAATTATCAAGTGGGTAGCCTGGACTGCCAGTAAGCAAAACGAAACCTACAGTATCTGTTCCGCACTTAATACAAGCTGAAAAGCAAAGTAATAACAATAACACGTAAATGTAATTATATAAAAGCCTGAGCAAATTTATAGTGCCCTTATACAGTATATATCTGGGAACGGATGTAAAGTCATTTTGAAATTAATGTTTAATGTTTCTTTATTAGCCCTATACAATTTCTTGCATTAGGAATTCGTCTTTTCACATACCCCAGCTTGCTCTCCATGAGATACAGACACACAGACAGGGAGAAGCTTGGGGTCAGAGTGCAGGGTCTGCCATTGTATGGCGCCCCTGGAGCAGTTAGGGTTAAGGGCCTTGCTCAGGGGCCCAACGGAGTAGGATTCCTCTGCCAGCCACGGGATTTGAACTGGCAACCTTCCAGTCACAGGCGCAGATCCTTAGCCACAGAGCCACCGCTCCGCCTGATATTTTACAGTGTCATTGTTTCAACTGCTTGATTATAGAAATACTAAGTATTTTCATATTTCAGAATGTCATGTATCCCTGACAAATTGAACTTTTTTAAGCAGATAATGTCAAATTGTACCCGAAAAGAAAAAGGCATTTGAAAAAAAAACATGAACTTTTGCTACCTAGGTAATGAAGACCTTCATCTCAGGCTTAACTGAACAAGAATTGGAAAGATCACAATGTTGCATTTGACCTCTTTAACTTCAACAGACGTTTCACCTTCTTGGCCTTTTCTTGATTGTTACCATTATAGTGGTAAAAAAGTAGAAAAACATTAAGATTGTAGGCAATTATGTAATTAAATCTGAAAGTACTCCTGAGAGTTCCAAAAAATAGTTGCATACAGTTACTGTAGATCAGTAATCACAGAGAAAGCTTATGTTTAATTTGGAGTATTTACTGTATGTCCAGTATAGTATTTATTGTTTTTAGTCTACCTCAGTGATTCACAACAATTATTTTTTACATCACATTATACATGAAAATGTGATGTATTAAAATACATTGCAATAACAAAGAAATAATATGCACCCTGTCAACATTTGTAATGCACAAACTTAAATTATCCAAAATTTGTATTCATTACCTAAAGAAATGTATCTGTTAAGCATAGCAGTGCATGTGCAAGAATGTATGTACTGTATAATGAGTAGGATACAAGTGTTGTTCCACTGTACAAAAAAGTATATGAAAGCTAAATAATGATTCCCTTGCTGCATTCCATCAGTACAGTTTGTGAATAAATGCATCTCTTGCATTGTTTTTTTAGTAGTATCCTCAGGAGAGATGACTAATGCCTCCTGTCACAAAAACTGCAGCCTACAGAAAAGAACCAATAGTGCCTTTCCAAACAAAACTGAAATGTGAGGCACTTTAGAAAAAATACTTATCTATGGAACTTCATTTTCAACCATGAAAATATGTTTCTAAGTGGTTACATTACCCCTATATACAGTACTGTAAATAGCTACAGTGCACCCTATTGTGTAAAAAAGGTATGTTACCATGTTGTTTTAAAACTACTTTCCAAAAATAGTTTAGGCCTAGTTGTCTCAGAGCATGCATTTAAATTCCCCTATATACAGTTTGGAAATTTGTATATGACAATAAAAGTAATGAAAACAACAAAACCCTATAACAGTTCAAATTAACTTGCCATTTTTGTTCATTACAAATGCTGTAAAAAGAAGATCTTAAAGGTCAACATAGAGAGTACACCATTTGCTATTACTCATAAATGGACTCAGAATATGGACTTCACTGTATTAGGAAGAAAAATTCTAAATTCCATCATCAAATAAATTAACAGGAAACACTACTATATGATATACTTAACATTTTTTTAAGTGTGTGACAGATGAATTAGTAAATACCATTTTAAGTCAAATCACTGTCATTATTTTCCTAGGAACAACAACTGGAAAATACATTTTCACACCTACAGTAAAGCAACCTATTTACAAAATTTACTTTGTATATTCCATGTAAAGTATCTCTTCATATGATTTCATTAGATAAATAAAAATTATCTTAACCACTTACAGTACCTTTCCAACTTTAGTTTATTAGTTACAAAAAAGAGAAAATGTTTTTTTTTAGATTTCTACATGTTTCTCCTTTTTGTTGTGCTGTATAGCTAGAAGATTTTGTTCTGACTGCCAATTGTTGTAACAGGAGAGGAGTGATAAGAACTACATATACGTCTATGAAATATACATGATTAGACCATCAGCTTTCTTTTATACAACAAATTCAAAAAACACATAACAAGATCTTCTGCACCAACTGGAAAGGTAAGATGTTGGACACAGGCCTTCGACCATGATCACTGTTAAGGCTGAAAAACACATGCATATGCTTTGCTTTTCAACAAAAGTTGAACTACAGTATGACCATAATTGCCCTTTATTAATAGGGGTATTTTATAATTAGTCAGCAACTGTTGTAGGTTACCTCTGTCTCATTGGTTTGGCTTGATACCCGTAGATAGTATAAGGTTTCACACTAAAATTCAGGTAATGTTATTCTAATTCACCTCTTAATTCTGAAACATGAAACACTATGAGAAATTGGTCTATTGTGCTTAGAATTGCCAACTTGGAGACATTTTAAGTAATAGTTTGGATTTCTTTTTTACTCCAGTCACCTGATATTAAGATAAAACAACCTTTCCTCACAATCTTTATTGTAATTAGGGTATCTGTTTTCACATCTTAATCTGCCTTAATAATAAGTCTATATGAGGGGTTAAACATTTTGTTTTTATTTGCCCAAAGACTCATACATACATACATATTAGAAATAATCTAGTCCTGGAGTGTCTGTTTTTAAACACTGACTAAAAATTTTCATTTTTGCTTAATTCATTATTACTGATCATTTTCTATAATTCATAATGTCTGTGAACCTTGAAAACTTAAAAATTAAAAAAAACTATTATCTGAAGAAAATGCATTACAAATGTCTATATCTATATCAGAACCTAAGCAATATTAAGTGTTTTCAATATACTTAAATAGACTGCAGATTTAAGAAAAAACAATCTAATTGTATTTAATGAAAACCACACAAGGAAATACAGTATAAACGTGTGCACATGGTGAACATTAAAAAGGACTTAACCTCATTGTACATTCTAGTTAATTCCTTTATTTCAACATAAAACAGTCTCATTTTATTTTTGCATGACAAAATTACATTAAGAACTGCACCACCTACAGTATGTGTGTATAACTATTTCATGTGTTTACTATTAGGAAAATTTGTCAGGAATTGTACACCAATGGGAAATATTTTGGCAGGTATAGCCATGGTTCCAGCACTATACTAACTGGTGGTTAAACTAAACACTTGGTTTTGTTAATACAGCTTTTACATATCTGTATAACTGTGTTACAGAAATTAAATATACTGTATTAAATACTTCATCTGATCTGTGAATGATATCTGTTAATTTGATAGCTTGGGAGCTTTAACACTGGCTCTTTTATTACTGGTGACTCACATTTATACTGTTACTAACTTACATTATTTCTACTGAAAATAATGCAACTAATTACATTTATTGCAATAATGTACATTACTTAGCCGTTCTGATGATAATATGGGGCATGACAATGGATGGCTAAATGAATGGAAGGATAATTTGCATTTTGAGAAAACCTACGTATAAACTATAAAGTTCTAATATGAGTGACAAGCTTCTCAAAAACAGTAAGATTTATTTATATTTTGGATACAAGTGAATTGAGACCTCAACTGTTTTTATTTGCTTTTTTCTGTGTATTAGTTCAGTGGAAGCCCATTGTTTTTGCTGTGTAAAAAGACATTTTGGTACCACATTGCAATTGTATGAAGAAAACACATTGCAAAACCCTATTTAAATAGCTTCAAAGAAACTGAGCAGAATTAGTATCATTTGTTAAAGTAGTTACTGTTAAATATCCATATTGTATTAGAAAAAGTGAATTCATGTGTTCTTCCTGTAACACTGAGTTAGAAACTATGTGTAGTAGTAGCCAGGACACTGGAAGTGTAACTGAAAATTTGCAGGCTCAGAAACTAAACAATGCACTTCTCTTTTACCTTCAGGATTCCACAAGATTCGTCTCTCAGCTTCCTCCAATAAAGTGCCGTTTTGTTTAAATGGATATTTACTGGGTAATTTTCTTGTTAGATTAATTAAAAACAGAGTTCAGATTAATCTTCAACTTTATGAAAGTAGCTCTCATTTAAAACTTTGTTCAACAAACTGCTTTTTACAGCAATTAATAACGCACAGTTTAAAGTACCAGGACTAGTTAGCCTGAGGTTTGTAACAACAACTCATAATTACAATCCTCTTTTTTAAAAGAAAAATTCAGATTGAATAGGCGCAACATATTTTAACAATGTTTCAACATAGAGTAAAACATCACTTTTTTAGGTTTGGAGACTTAATATTTATATATATACTGTACATTTAATATTATGAAAGTGAACTGTATCCTGAATTGATCTTACTGTAGGTGTGGTGCAGTTCAACAGGAAATAATTCAGTTTGCTTGACCATAAAAATATAAATCATGGAAATTCCTGGAACTCATAAAACTAAGTGCAGGATTCTGTTTAACTTACCCCAGCCAATGAGAGTAAATCCCCAAAGATACTTTCTGTCAGAGAAGAAGGTCATAAAGATGAGGCTATGAAGATAAAGTCCTTCCACAAGAATCCAATAATAATTGGTGGCCAAAAAGTACAGAAAGAGTGTTACAACCACCTTACAGCCAATCTAAAAGAGAAAACAACATAATATTTTATCTTGTTTTCATCAATACGCATAACAATAGAGCAGCAGTTTAAATCCATTCACTTAATTAAAATAATAGCTTTATAAAGATGATATGGAAACACCCATTACAAAGATAAAGATTCTTTCCTGGGTTTCTTTGACATCTCAGAAAGAGATGCTTGCCTTCTGTGCCTAGTTTGCCAAATTTATAATGTTCGCTTGCAAATTCTTCTAAAGAATGTCGCCTTTGAGTTGTGTAAGATTTGTTTGAGCAGGACATAATAACATATTCCTAAATACTTATAACAGGTTTTTCAAACTGATATCTTTTCTGTTATGTTTCCTATAGCAGTTTATGGCCCAAAACTTTCATTAACCAGACAAATTGAAGTGCTTAAAATAGCACAGAAAGAACCTTTATGTGATACTTACAAACTGAGTCTTGTCTGCCAGGGGGGCTTCAGTGATAGATTTTAGGTCCTCTACACTAATTCGCTCCATTTCTTCTAGTGCAGACCCTGAATAGAGCACATCATCCTTCACGAAAATGCTGATGGCCCTCAGCATGAAGGAAACAAACAGGTGCATGTGGATGTAGTTCCTGGTGCAATGCAGGCGTCTGTTTATGGGGAAAAGAAGTGTTTTGCTTAAATTTGCAAGGGCAAGTATCAATGATAATATTTAAAAAAGATCAAATGTTAAATGAAAAACAAGAAAACAGATAATTTAGAATTTAATAGAATATTGTCTGAATAAACATCCAATAACTTATCTTAGGAACATTTGTTTAGAAATACTGAAGATAAATTGCAATATAGTAATTTCCAATAATTCAGGAATATTTCTTTACACCGATGAAAGTTTCCAAGAGTTATTTAAATACTGATTACAATGAAGAAATCAGTTAGACATTGATCCTTTATGTCAAAGCAGGATATGAGAGCCTGTTACAGAAGATGACACCTAGATGGAAGTCTGCAGCAGGAGACAATCTTTTGATAATCTTTGATATAGAGTTCATTGCTATCTATGGAGTGTACATTATGCTCTGGAGCCACCAGTGATTGTGATTGAATCCAGGCAAGAGAGTTTTACAGAAGATAAAATCACTGCCTTGAAACCTTGTCTGTGGCCGAAATCTTCTAGGGAAGTAAAGTTTTCCACTGACTAGGGGAATACTATGTACTGTATGCTCTGAGCTCGAAGATAGAACCAAGGCAGGAGCAAAGTTGCACCCAGCATATTGTCTCCCTTCCAACTATCCAGCCAAATTAATTGCTAATAATAGCTGCCAGTGCAGCTTATGGTTTAGTACATCATTCGCTGAGGTGGTTGACTGCTGAGCAAATTTTGGTACAAAAGTGATATGATAGATGCTAGGCAGAAGCCACAAGATGTTTAGGCATCCTGTTGGATATTAGGGGGCACCATATAAGAGAATGTCCCTACTAGCTTTCAGAGTATGTACACCCAAGGAGGTTTCTTTCTCTGCATCTTTCTAGCAAATTTCCAAAGGTGAGATTTCATTTAAAAGTGACACCAAGATTTCTATATTCTGACAGCAAGAAATGCAGCCGCTATCCTACTGTCAAGATGATGGGCAGTGATTAGATGGCAGGTCCACCAATGCTGTAACTGAACACAGTGGAAGGCAGCTTTGATGGTGTCTGTCAAGGCCATCACCTAGTCACCTGTATTTCAGCTTCATCTGAATTCGCTTTCTTGTTAAGACTGAATTGCTTCAACAGTGTATAAGTGGTAGGCAGCAAAGCCATTTCTATAAATTTTGCGGTTACAGCAAGGAAAAGAGCAGGTAGCTGGACGGTCCACCCAGCTGTTATCCTTGTTTGGGTAGGATGATAACATTGCCCTGTTTCATGCTTTGGGGATTTTTGCTGTCTTACAGTAAATGTGAAGAGATGTCATGAGAAAATTGGAATTACATTAGCCACTGAGCCTTTATGGCTCATTGCTGCTGTCAATAGGTGCACAGATACTGGAGCTGTGTAGTCCACAGAAAATGGTGATAGCAATGGATATAGTGACTATGCTGCGGTTTTACAATATTGACCTTCCTTTGAGATAGGCTGAAAGCACACCACAACCATTCATGCATGGATCAGGAAATAAAAAATATCAGTCCCTAGGATTATTGAGAACAGTATGGTGCCATTTAGCAATTGAAGAATTATATACATTAGATAGGATTGCACAGCACAAGAGGAGCTGTTATACCACATTTGTAAAAGATGCTATTTGAAATTAAACCTGTCAGCATGGCTATTTGCATCATGACTGAGTAATAACATTTGTGTATGTAATGTAGTACTCTATCATAAAATTTGGAAGCGTTATTTAACAATAACACTTCCAGAATTTGGACTTCCATTGAGAACCTCCTATAATGCCATGGTCTTACAATATTGACCTTCTTTTGAGCTGGAACCACAACCATTTGTGCATGGATTAGGAAATAAAGAATTATCACTCTGTAGGATTATTGAGATCAGTATATGGTACCATTAGCTATGGAAAAATTATATACATTAAGTGGGACTGTGAAGAATTAAAAGAGGACAATAACACTTCCAGAATTTGGACTTCCATTGAAAACCTTCTATAATATAATTTTGGCTATTAAGACACACAGCTCCAGGCTAATTTATTGGCAGCACCTCTGCAAACATCAGTAACAATTTGTACTATAAACGAGTGGTCCAACACAAACAGATGACAGAGAAAATTAATAAATTTGATACTCCATTTCCATTGCTATCCAGTATACCCTAAATTTACTGTCGCGCTCTTTCCAATGCTGATTGAATTACAAAAGATTGTGCACTGGTAATTTAATTTGTAAGCTCTCCTCACACTGCCAAGAAATTTATCTGTTCCTGACCCTTCTACTGTCAAGACAAGATCAGAGAACAATTGTTTTGCACTTTATTCTTATTCTTGACCCAACAAAAATGGATCTTTCAGATGGGCTATTACAACACTATCTTCTCTTTAGCTGGTGATTTTCAGAGTTCATTAACTCTACATGTACTGCATTTTACGTCTTGTAAAATTTAAAATACTAAATCTTGCTCTCAACTTTCAAAGTCCTGTAGCTGTGACCTCATTCTATATTCAGTAAATCCATCACAAGGTAAGGGGTAAAAAGAAAAACTCCTTGTGAACCACTGAAACATTTGTGTCATTTGGAGTTTTACACATAAATATTTAACTGCTTTCTGATATCCATAGAGCCAGATCATCCTAAGGTAAGGTGTACCTCAAGATAAAACGTTTACAGAAAATTCTAATGTATGTACACATTTTATTTGAGAAGAAAATAATAACAGGATAAAATTCCAATGCATCTTTAATGAGATACTTCAATATCTGGACCAAATAATATTAAAAATCCACACTCATTGCATTTTATCATTAATGTGCACTGAGAGTACCAACAGATTTAACTACATTTAATTTTTAATTGCATCATGATGTTTACCACATACCATGTAACATCAGATCACAAAACTAAGTATACATGAATTATACCGAAATCCCAAAATAGATTTAAAAAATGAACCTACTGTAACTTTTTAACAGAACAATGTATACCATGATTCCCACATGGAAAGAATTTGCTGCAAGGAATAATTTAAACATGCTCAATGTAATAACTTAGACTGTGGTTGAAACCCACTGGATACAATTTTAAAGATGTGGCATGATGAAATGGAGGGTCTTTAACTCAAGAATGAATGGGTTAGTTACAGAAATTTAGTTCAAATAATATTTTTGGAAACCATTGCCACATGTGGGAGAAAAAACAGATCTAGGTTTTAATTTTGGGTGAGGTTATTATATATGGATTATTAAATTTACTTGAATACATTTAGCAGATGCTTTGGAGTGTTCAAAGAAATCCATTTCCTAAAATACATATACCCACAAAGCAAACCTAATAACTGAAGGCTGTTAAGATGTGTTCTGCAAGAAAAGTCTTACTGAAAGGAAAATAAAATTTGTATTGTTAAATTTAATCTAACTTAATTATATATCTTTTTTTGTACTCTCATTGACCCTTATCGATAGTATATAATGCAAATGACTAATATTTAGACAGGTATAAAACAGGATGTATAACAAGTGTTATAGATAATGTTTAAAAAAATACAAATCATTAGCATTCAGTAGCATTGAGAGTCCATGGTAAAAGTTTTAATATGCAAATTGGTTCAGGTGAATATATACACTGTATATGATATGTCTGTGAAGTAGCATAATTTCACCCACAATAGATTTCATATGACATAAATTCCTATTATCATAAAAGATATTCTCAATGTTAAATTATGTCTATGTATACTTGTTGTGGAATACAATGTCCCTCTGACGTGCCTTTTAGTATATACTCAATACATACAAAGAGAAAAATAAAAATGGAGATCCTGAACAAGTAGATTTTGGTAATGAGAATATTAAGCCTTTTATTGGATGCTGCATACAGTATCTATAATTTTTAAAAAGCTAACTTAAAGACTTTCTTTAATTAATGCATTTCTAAACGTTCAGTGAACAAGATTGCTTTTATCAGTGACTCTTAATCTTTAGATCTAATTGTGGTGAAAGGCAGGTGGAGTAGCTGTTGTGTGGCAAAGAAGAACCTTTATACAGCAATAAGACAACTCGCTCACACTTCTGCAAACTGTCCTATTTCACAGGATCCATCCAATGACAACCAATAGAGGGATGTATTACATCCAATCACTTTCTAACGGCTTTATTCAATACAGAGTCAAGGGGGAGCTGTAGACCATCCCAGCAAGTGATGGGCGCATGGCAGGGTACACCCTGGACATCATGCCAATCCATTTCAGGGCACACACAGGCACCTTTTGGCACCATACGTAATACCACATAATAGTATCTATAGTTAGGTCAATAGTACTGTATGTATTGAGGTCTGATGATTGAGTTTCAATATTCCTTGGGAAGTCATGTGAATTAAATAAATGGCATTTAATGTTTTAGTTATTTGAGCTCAAACTGTAAAAATGTCTTAAAATGTGCATAAACAGCAATTTAGTTTTCAAAATTTTAGTTAATGCAAGAATAGTGAAAGGACAGCACAGCGGCATAGTGTTTAGCATTGCTGCTTAGGGCCCTATTTCAATTCTTGGAATGCTATGTGCTTATCTGCTTGGAGTTTAAACATTCTCCCTGTCTGTACATGGGTTTCCTCTTAACGTCCAAAAACATATTAGGTTAATTAGGCTTCTGGCAGATCTAGCCCAAGGTGTGAGTGTATGCATGTCTGTGTCTGTGTGTTTCCTGTGATGGACTGGCATCCCATCCAGGGTGTATCCCGGCTTGTGCCTGTTGCTTGGCAGCTCCCCCGTGACCCTGTATTGGATTAAACATTTAGGAAATGGATGAATGGATGGAAAACGTGATTAAGCCCTGCTTGAGTAATGAAGATTGCCTGGTTAGTATTTGCATGAATGATGAATGTCTGTCTGTGAAAGAAAAATGAGAAGTTCTTCCTCAGAAAACAAAAGACTGGTCCAGAGAAACAGACAAACTGGCTTTGGGAGGGTCAGACCACATCCTGGAAGGCAGAGGGATGCCAGACAAGCCCCCAAATTATTAGACCTATCCAATTCATTCACATAACTGTTCTCTGCCTGCCGCTGCAGGTGACTACCAGTGGTTATTGCATTAGAAATTCAATAAAGAAGAGATTACAAGTGCCCATTAGCAGAATTAATGCATGTCCAGAGGACATTCAGTCAATAGCTAGGTGGTGAAATAGCTATTTTCTTTAGGTTTAGGTTTCTTTATATTTAGGTCAGAATATATTCTGTGTGTGGAGAAGTTGTGATGAGCATCATGTACCAACCATGGGGGTGGTGGACATGTGATGTGGGGAGGAATCTCTCCTTTTTAAAAAAGCCATGACTGAGGTCAAATTTATAGCCCTGCCATACATTGACAAGTTCTTGAGCCAACATTTTAGTACTTCTCCTTTTTTATTTATTTGGGTGACACTTTCAAACAAAGTGACTTAATTTGCACTGATTTATACAGCTGGGTAATTTACTGGAAACATTTAGCTGAATTACCATACTCAGTGGAATAAAATCAGAGTCTCACATAAGATATGAGCACACAAACTTCCAGTTACAACTCCGGAACCACACTGCCAAACACTGCTGTCCTTATTAACAAGTGTAACAACACTTTTTTTAAAAACTGGACAATGTAGAAGTCTCCAACAGCAAAAGACCTGTCTTGTGTTGTAGTGGGGTTTGCAGCTTTTTACTGAGTCCTGCTACTGTATCTGTGCTCTGAGCCTGCAAATGGCTGTGACTGAATCCCAGCTGGGTTCAGTGTAGAGCTATACCTGTCACACAAGCAAATCGGTACAGTAAGTATTGACTTTACAGCAGGACAATGCAAGACCACACAGAGCTAGGATTATAATGGCACAACTTCAAGAAAACAGTTATGATATTTTGCAATGGCTAGCATTTTCGCAGACCTTCATACAAAAGTACATCTGTTGGACCACTTCTTGAATGCTGTCAAAATAAGACAACCACAAAAAAATAAACTTCACCAGCTGGCTGGAGCTACACAGGATGAATAAAAGAATATCTTACAGTAGACTCAAGAAGATCATATTCAAAACTATTTGTAATAATTCCATCAGACTGTGTTATATTTTATACTGAAAACATTTTAATATTCTTTGATCAGTGTTTTGTGTTCGTTATCTTTGCATAAAATATTTAATTATTGAAATTATGAATGTGGTGCTTCGTTTGTACATCTGTGTGTGCACTCTAACATCTACAGTATAACTTTTCCTACTGAGGTATTTTTGTTTTATTAAGATCAGGTCAATAAAATAATTATATTTTAGCAACTCCTTTATATGTTTGGAATAATTAATAACAGTGTTGTCTTTTTTTTTAATCTGATGCTTATAGAGCCTTAGTAAGGAACAGGACCCAAATATATATTCTGAAATAAGAATTATGCTGTTTTAGTATTTTTCAATCTAAAGGCTGTTTAAACTAAACTAAAGGTACAACATATGCTGTAGGAGGCCCATATCTTCCCCAGTTCTGCAGGCACAATGTCTTTTATCATGTGGAACTTAGAAGCCATTCTTCTTATGTGATTTTTTTTGCATAATAGTGTGTACATGTTGTGTATAGTCTTTTTACGGTTTGTGCATATAGTGTTCTGCATGTAGTCTGTGTGTTTACCCTTTGGTTTTTATGTTTTCTGACTGAGAGAAACAGTGTAAGATTTCCAGTGCACTGTTCGTCCAAATGGCAATAAAGGTACTTGAAGATGAAATTGTTTACGCCTATTATAAGTTAGGAGTATCCCATTCTTCCTCAAGTCATCATGCAATTTACATCATAAGATGTGTCTGTGTTACAAGGAATTACTAGATATTTGCAGGTCAGTTTGTCACATCAATCACTTTTATTCCACCACATTAAACATTAAAATTTCTTTAACAGGTTAAATTGGGTACTATTATATTATTTGGTTACATTATGTTATTTTAAAGCTTTTTAAATATTTATAAAAGCTAATAATCACATAATTCTGGTCCCCCTAGACATCTCCATCTGGGATAATTTTTTTCACTATTTTAAACAATTAACCCACCTGAGAAGTTGTGGGACAGGTTGGGTATACACATACAGTATATCACACATATGGAAAACTTACAGCACACATGACATTTAAACATTTTACTCATAAAATAATGGACATTTCATTGAAATCTCATAGTTAAATTTTACAGAAAAAGCACAAATTAGATTTGTCCAATATTTACTTACTCTAAAGTGTTTAGTACAAATAGAAATTGGGATTTGATGTACTTTCAAAAACACAGATGTGAAAAAATGCATTTAATTTTTGAAGGATAATGCACTAGTATAACTGAGCATCAAAATAAAAGCATGTGAGAAAACAGTTACTCACCGGAAATATCCCAAAATAACAACAGCAACCATTAATGATCCCAAAGAAACAGAGTAACCCACGGTGTAAATCAATTTGAGGCGATCAAAGACTTCCTATGAGAGAAGAGAACAGTAATAAAAAACAATAATAATAGAAAGAAATCACAACCCTGTCAAATTAAAATGACCACTTCCAAGAAATATCTGGATTTCAATGCATGTACCCACATTCTCCCTGTGTAATACAGGGGTTGTAGTAGACAACCCAACAACTGGTGAATTTAAATTCTAAAGTTGAAAAAAAAAAGAGAAAATTGTGTTCCTTACTGATTTTGTAAATAAATGCCACACTCACTGCCCACAAATCTCCTTTAATATTTGTATTAAAATACACTGTAACAGTGCAAAGGCATTCAATGCAGTGCACTGGATTTCAGCAAGAAATTTCTAAGCTGAGTGGTCCATTATAATGACTAATACTGCTATAGCTGTTTCATGTTCCAAATCATCTGAATTTGCTAAAATTTCATTTCCATTATTATTTGTGTTGTAAATTTGTACTTCCCTCTAGTTTGAAAAACACAAGTGAAGAACAGAGGACAGCTGCCAACAAAGTACAGGTTGAAAGATGTAAGTCAAAACCTACTGCTACAATATCTTATATCTACAGTAAATAACAAATAACTTGATCATTTTTAGTAGATGGTTGTCACGCATTTATGATTTCCCATAGAATCACACATGCAACTTGATCTTTGTTTTTTTCCAGTACATCAATTTTGTGAATGTCTGGAGTGGTTTAAGGTTCCTAGCAAAACATTTGGCTGAAGTCTTAAAGCAGACATGAATAGGGTGGAGAAACCATGGGCTTCCAGTTAAGATTGCTTAGACTAATAGCAACCCACAGGAGTTATGTGAGCCATGTTAACCAAGATACTGTAGCTGGACCAACAAAGATTACTGAAGGGTTATGTTGTGCTGATGTAACCAAAAATGTACTGCTGTTATCATTTAGTGTGCAGGCTATGGGCAAACACGCAGGTCTAAACTGTGGTACAATTGCACAGTACAGGATTTTAATTTGAGATATGCCATTATTTTAGTATTGAGTTCCAGTCTATACTGTAAAAAGTAAAAATAGGCATAAAGTAGTACTTATGTAGAAAACCTGTATAAATCCCCTTATACTACATGTCACAACATTTATATATTTTTGAATCTGATGAGAGGTTAGCATGGTGGCGCAGTGGTTAGCATTGCTGCCTTGCAGTGGTGGGGCCCAGGGTTCAGATCTGGACCTGGGGTGCTATCTGTGTGGAGTTTGTACTGTACAGTATGTTCTCTTCATGTTTGTGTGGATTTGCTACAAGTGCTTCAGTTTCCTCCCACAATCCCAAGACACACAGGTACTGTAGGTTAATTGGCTTCTGGGATCAATTGGCCCTGGTGTGAGCGTGTGTACAGTATGTTTGTCTCTGGGTGTGCCCTACAATCGACTGGCATCCTCAGTGTGCCTTGTGACTGTTGCTTGCAGGGAAATGCTCTGGCTTCCCCACGACCCTGAACTGGATGAAGTGGTTAAAAAATGGATGGATGGATGAACCTGATAATAAGATATATAGAGGGGTTTGTTTCTTTACAAAAAAAAAATATTGTCTTGCACAAAATGACAATCTACAGATAATGAAAGCTACATTTAAACATTGTTGAAACATTTAAAGTTTTAATGTTTTATAAATTATCAGATTAATTGTTATTTCAGAGCCAGTATCTCAGGAGATTATGTTACCTGACATATTTTGATATATTTGTTTTTGTATAATTGCTTTATAATTTATGTACAGTATTATAAACTAACTTATTCTGTCTCCATTTGCACTTAGTGATGTTTTTAAATGTACCGCTATTTCAAACACCATTTTATTGAAGAGATGTACATCCTGGGTTATGAGTTTGTCTTAAATTGAACCTGTACCATCTCAAAAGGAGAGAGTGGAAAAATATAATGGAAAACTCAATATGTGATTCATCTGAAAAAAATGCTAATGTCTTTGAAGTTACACTAAGAAGCCCGTCATATAATGTTAAATCCTAAAAATTACATATTTTACCTACTTTATTATGAACTGATAAGGATATTGAAGAAACAAAAAAATGCTTATTATGTTTTGTTAAAGGAAATAATTTATTCTACAATATGTAATAAGCATCCAGTATGTACAATATACTGTAATTGCAATAAATGTTCAGAAACAAACAGCTATTGAGACAATTGTTTGAAATCTGCTTGTAATTAACAAATTCGCCTCATTACCGTTTCTCACTGTATCTGGCCCAGATAAAAAAAAAAATCTGAATGAAGTAATCTGGAGCTGGAGTCTTTATAATTTCAGGTTGAAATGTTTTAAAAGAAGTAATGTTTTGTTCCATCTGGCAACTGTCCCATCTTTTGGACTTAAACTAAGAAAGTCCTGGAAACTATCTTGTAAAACATAGAATCATTGTTTTGTTAGCCAATACACTAAACATTCAAACACAATGCAACAGAAAAAAAATCAGAAATTGTAAATCAAATGTATAGGTTTGTCAAGTTTAAGATGCAATAATATATTTCATTTTTGTTGAAATAACATACTTTCATCTTACAAAGCTTACAATAATGAGCATTAGAGATTAAATTTGTAACTACTCATTTGTACAAGTTTGAAAACATAATGGACAGTTGAAAAGGTAGTAAAAATAACTATATCCATCCATTTTCATTTACCCCTTTGTCCTTAGAGAATTACAGTGATCTAGAATCTAATACAGGTCACAAGATGGGACTACATCCTAGAGGAGACACTCGTCAATCATGAGGAATACAGTACATGTGCATTACCTCATACACACTTATGGTAGGAATTTAAAGATGACAATAAACCTGTCATCATCTTTAGACTGTTGGCAGAACTAAAAAAGCCCTATGAAACCTACAATACATGGACAGGGAGAAAAAAGTTAAAATTCCACACAGAATGAATGCTAGTCCAGAACTAATCACAGGGCACAAGGCTGACTCTATACCATATACACTGTGCAAAAAAAATAATGTACAGTATATATACAGTAGGACACAAAAATGCTGTAGGTATCGTGAACAGAACAGGAGGAAACAATAACTTAGAATAAGTCACTTAAAAAACTCTCATAACTAAAATATTTTTTGTGTTTATATTGAAAATTAAATAAAGCACTGTGGATTCTGCCAAATACCTCTTCATTCAAAAGTGTACCATCCAGAAATTTACCTTCTCATGGTTCTGGTTGTAGTGTGTAAGGAATTTGGCACATTCACTGTAATTCGCCCAGGTTTTGTTGTTGGTCTGGGCAAGCTCCCAACTACCATTCAAGTCACAGCGTCGATAAGCATGACCTGACAAAGAAAATGTTTTGAAATGGCTTAAATGATCCCAAACAAATCAGAAATTCAACAGCGCTTCTGGTATCCACTAGATTTACGCTTCACACTAGAATCATTGTTATTTATCATGTCTCTCACCAGCTCAACATGTGGATTTAAAATAATTGAATGCATTATTATTAATTAAAGCACAGAACAGATGTTCTGTAAATCACAAATGCGAGACTAATTATTAAGCAGTGTTGACAGTAGCCACGAAACAGGGTAATACTTTGTCTGCTTATTCAAAAAGAACATGAGTAAGGTAGGACACAACATAAATATAAGAAGTTTGGCATCAGGTTCAACATCTTGGTTGTGTAACACATTCTATATTCACGTGGCACTTTGTGACATATAGTACTGTTCTTTGTTCAAAAACCACAGGATTGAATATCTAAACATGAACCCTGATTCATATATGTACTTGTAATTGTTGCCAAATCCATAAGTATGTGATAGTTAATAGCATGGTTTTAAAGTTTTGACATATTTGTCTATCCATGTGATTAACAAGTCAGAAAGCCTTACCATTATGGTTGAAGTCAAAAATATAATCTGGGCAAGCTGCAGACACCACCTTTCCTGGGAGTCCCTCAGGCCAACAAACAATGCCATCCCACTCAGGTAGACAGAAGCCATCTAAATGCAAAAGAGAAACAAATAATGTACTGTTGGTGTAAGGACACTGAAAGTGTACATTAATATGTATGCAGAACTTGTTTTATCCATCTTTCAGTTAGAGCTGGCTGGTGTGGTGTATTCTGGGTGTGCATGAGGAGTGTGAGATGGAGGTGGATTATGTATATGAGTGATCTCATTGGACCGTTTTCTTTTTTATTGATTGTTCAGTCTTTGGTCAGTTAAAAAAGGTATCCAAAAGGTCTTTTGTTCTTGAGTTGACTTTTAGTTAAAAAAACAATGAGGCAATGAGGAAAACTAGTTCTTCAGCACAAATACTATACTTAATCTGTCAGTACTGTATTTACAGTGTTCTCTGATGAAATTATTTGTGTTTGGTGAATGTATACTGAATATCCCAACTGTTGTGGATATTGACTTGTCAGGTGATTTGTCAGGTGAAATGCTTTATTCCATTAGCTTTTTCCTAGTGAGACTAGACCAAATGCAGTAGAGATTAACATTTGCATTAACATTAATAATGCTATTCTACTACTAACAGTCCTTGTAACTCCTACTTGGAAAATTATATAACCTACTGTATGTACCTCCCTGTCCATTAAACATTTGCTAAAGAAGGTGCTTGCAAGCAATGGTATTAGGCTGTAAATCCGACCTTGTGAAGCAGACATGCTGTAGACCAGTGAAACCAGTCCTTACATTAACCGAGAAAAAGGGGAGCACTTGTAAAGATACTGTAGTATGAAAGTTGGAATAAAGCAAGGAGTGGGAACTTGTGTTGACAACGTTACAGAGAGTAAGAAGTAAATTGGCAGACAGAGGAGGTAGATAGCATTATAGCATGATAGCAGTCCAGGAAGCAGCATGTAGTTGAGGAGGAGACTGTGGACTGTGTTTCTCTTTTGCATTTAGATTAAATTAGACAGTGACACTATTGAAGCACACTTATAAGTCTGCAGAGGGTGAAACTGTACAGAAACTGCAAATAGTCATTCATCAGGAGAGAGCAGTAGCATTCTGGCTGAAGTCCTGTTATGCCTGTTACATGGCAGCTACTGTACTATACCACTCCAAATGCTGAAAGCTCAGGTTATGACAGTGAGGGTGAGGGAATTCTTACTGATTCCTCCATTGCCTCAGAGATCAGATCCACAAATGTGGTGAGTTAGAGTCTAGGAATTATAGACAAATCAACTTATGTTATCAATACCTGAGATTGTTTCTCTAATGTTATGTCATAGCTTCCCACGATCACTAAAAAACAATTCTGCAGAGCAAGATCAAGTCCAGATGTACAACACCTTCAGTAAGCTACAGTACGTAAAATTTCAACAAACCAAAAGCTCATTGGATTGTTTAGATTCATAAAAACTATTTTCATTTAATTGTCTCTGTCTTTCTATCTTGTTTGTATTTGTGTTTTTCTTTAGCCCCACAACAAACTCCTTTTTGGGACAAACATACTGTACAGTATAGTGAATCAATTAAATAAGGAGTACAAAAAGGGAAGGATATACACTGCATTTTTGGAAATGGGACTAGTCAGTGACCAATGCAAGTGTAGCTGCATAATTTTAATATTGTTTACCTAGTCCCGTTCATGTCATTGAGGTATTTAAAATGTGCTTACTTTTAAGTTAGTGTTTGAAAATGCAGCATATTAATTTGTTTCCAAAGAAGTAGAGAAATATTTCATTTTTGCAGAACATGTTTCAATTGAGTGAAAACCTGAGTAAATTTGATTTTTGGTGCAGATTTCAGTTGGACAGTTGGCCGCAATGCAGGAAGTACAGAATGTCCCTTAGAAAGCTTTTAAGAATTCAAAAACAAATTGGATTGTTTCTATATATTTAAACATAATTTGAACTTTTTAAAACAACTGGTAACACTTTATATGTTTTTTTTTCTGATCATGATTAGGTCTCCTCCATCGTACTACTTCCATCAGTAAAGATACAAAATACATTGGCCACTGGCGTTTTAACTCATTTTCTTTTGTTTTACAAAGGAATTTACATTTCTGGGAAAGACAGAGGGCAAATACAGTACACACCTAATGCAGTTTGCAGCACAAATATTTTTTCTTCATAACAGCAACCACAGGATGTAGGAAAATGCAGATTTTAAACTTTTTGTCAACTATACGTAAAAAATGTCACAAAGCCACATAAATTAATCCATACGATTATCAGAGGCAAAGAAGTACAGCACCAGCAATCTCCAGACTCCTGTTCTAGTTGGGCTCAAATGTGCAGGTGGCACAAGTGAGGCTAAACGTCTGGAGTTGTTACACAACTGCAAATTTTGTCTTTGTTTTCAAGTAATAGAAGACATGGAGTAAAGAAATAATGGGTATAGGAACTGTAGAAATCTGCAGGTTGGCTATGAGAGTTGTTGAAGTATCCATTGCATTTTATGGGTTTCTTGATCATCAGCTATAAAATCTTGGCAGAAACGCCAAATCAACCTGGAGAGACCCGAGTATGAAAGAACTTTTAATGTCCTTCAGGGGCTGAACAATGGCAAAACTCCTGGGATCAGTGAGTTGTTTGTGGAATTTTAGATTACATGTAGGCTTCAGGGTGCCACAAGATGAAGTACAGTAGCTCGAGTAGGTAGCTGTGTTAGCATGCGTAGGCTGCAAAGAATCCTTTGCAGAAACTCCATTCTCTAACCACACCATGACTGGACATACTGTAACATGACCAAAAATATAATTTGAAATTTGGGAAGGATAATCTCCACTTATCTCTCATGATGTAGAGTGAAAGACTTAATATCTCTTCTTCCACTCAAACATAGTGCCCAGAGGATGTAATTTAATTATTTTTTTCATAAGACAACACACAATTTGTAGTTTTTACTAAAGAAAATCTTAAACGAATTTGCTAGATGAAAAAAAAAATTAGCAATAACTATGTGAAAAAATGTGTACATTTCTAAAACTAAAATTCATCTTAGCATGAAATTGAGTTTTCCAGTCATTTGATTAAAGCTTTTCTCTCCTATTCTATATAAGATTCTAAAAAGTGCCTTCCAATGGACCCCAAGAGCTTGAAATATGCAACCATTGTACACTTTCAACAGATATACAAACTGCATAGATAAAAAATAGTTAAGCAATTCAGCACAGCATTTCAGAGTGAAAAAGACAAAATCAAAAAGCCGTTGCTCAATTCAGAAGTCACAAGAGAACAAAAGTCCTACTGAAAGTATACTGGTGTTGGTGGAAAACATAAACTTTACAACATCACTTGACAGCTGCATTTAGTCTATGATCCTGCAAATGCCACTAATTTTATTTATTTTTTATCAGCGTTGTTTCTCTCCATATTTAATTTAGAAAATTAAAAAAAAAAATAATATAATGATATTCTTAGATTATATATTATTCTCTGAAAAGAAAGAACGATTTTGTGTTTTTTTCAGTACTATGGCAGTCAGTGTCACAGTTTGACTCTACATGTCTGTATTTCAAGACCAGCTAGTTGGTCTCTCTAATTTTATACCACACAAACATAATTGCACAAAATGAATGGAGCTGTTTCTGAATGATACTATCAGTGTTTTATCTGTGTTTCTGTTTTCATTTTCCACTGTTGCACTATTACAGTGTTCTTGATTAATGCAAGCTTCTAAAATGGTTGCTAATGTTTGTGTAATTTTACAGTCAACCACAGTTTTAAATGCTTAGTTATTTTCACTTAACTTCTAGCTCGCATCCTTCTACTATACTACCAATGCTGACCTCACCAAGTCTAATCACTTTATCAAAGGGTCCATTGAAGCTACTGTTTGCACAGCACACAAAACTAAAAACAATAACAAACAAGTAGCCTTCCCTATAAACAATGAAAACAAGTAAGAGTTTCGCATTAAGTGAAAAGGTTATTTCCAAAATAATCCCAGCCTTATAAAATATTTGTTCTATTGATACCACATAGTGTGTACAATATTAGTTTTCAGCATCATTCATCTAATAATAACTTGGTTAACCACAGAAACAAAGTTACACCTTAAGGTTTTGGGTGGCCCCACCAATAACTGGCAAATGATTTTATCGACAAACCAAATTCATTTCAAATCTGCATTTTTTGGGCATTCTTTGGTAACAAGAGTAAGGTTTCCCTTCAAGGAACTAATCTTTTAAATTGTACAGAAGCTGACATTGGTCATGTGATGTTCTTAACCTTTCCAAAATAAGCCTGGAATTCATCTTCTACCATTTCAGATTGTATTTTATTAAAATCTTACTAAGAAAAGAACACCAAAGTCTCATTGTGCTAAAAAATCTTTTGAGCCCCAAAACAAAATGGCTTTTCCTTGACAAACGATCAGCTGTGGTTTCTTATGAATGGGAATGCTCTGAACTCCGCAGAGACACACATAAAAGAAAGTGAGAGTAAGATTAGCATTATGGAGAGCTGCTTGAGCCTTTTTAATTATTAGCAGATGTGAATTTCCTATTAACCTTGACTGTTGCTTAAAAGGTCTGCAAAATATCTTGGAAACCACAGGAAATCAGATTTTGTTTAACAGTTTTTTTCCAGACCACAGAAATTTCTTGTTGTAAAAGGTCATAATGTTTTTCACTCAGAATATGAAATACTAAGACTTTATGTGCTAATAAAATTCTATTTTTTAACAAATCATACATATAATTACAATGACTGAAATAAGCAATGAGCCAAACAAACAAATTAATTATTTCAGAGTAATCAATTCTATGGAGTGTAAACATCCATTCTCCTTAAAGAGTATTTTTTCATAATTTAAAATTAATAATTTATTTAGCCTCTGATGCGTTTTGATCATATGATGTACTGTATACCATAACAAGAAGAAGATGAACTACCTATATAATTATGTGAACCCCCAATATAATTATGGGAATTGCAATTTAACCATTATTCTCTCATTTAATTGAAACCATTTTTTTTCAAGAACTTAAAGGGTTTATATTTATCAGTTCAATGTTGTCTCAGATGTATTGGGATATG